AACACTGGTTTAGAGCAATGACTGGCTGGGGAATTCTGGGAGTTGAAGTCCACTCGTCTTAAAGTGGCCAAGTTTGGACAACACTGGTTTAGAGCAATGACTGGCTGGGGAATTCTGGGAGTTGAAGTCCACTCGTCTTAAAGTGGCCAAGTTTGGACAACACTGGTTTAGAGCAATGACTGGCTGGGGAATTCTGGGAGTTGAAGTCCACCCATCTGAAAGTTCCCAAGGTTGAGAGAGACTGGTTTAGAGCAATGTGTGGATCCTGAATTGCAAATCATAGTTAAGCTCAACATGAAACGTAATGGACAAAGTCTTAAAAGGAATAAAATATGGCAGAATGTGCCGCGGTCCTGAATGAGCAAGAAATAAACAGGGGTGTATCTTTCAAAAACAACATTTCTACACGATACACGCTGGGAAGTGAATGAATAAAGTGATTACGGTTTTAGGCTAGCATAGAAATGACTCTCAACGAGCATAATGCATACATTATCGTCCTGATGAGCTGAGAAACCTTTTTTGAAGGAAGACGACGCTGCACAGAGGCTGATTAATATTCACATAACTCAAGTCTTCAAGCGACACGTCTGTGAGGTTTTCTTGGAAACTCACAGAAGCGGGTTGCCCCTGCCATTCTAAGACACTTCCCAAGCTAGCCTCCGGCCCTGGCCTCTCCTGGTGGTCTCCCATCCAAGGAAAACCCTAGTGAAACCTCCTTAGCTTTTCTCCTGCAGAGACCACTCGAATGTACATTCAGAGGCATGAAACAAACATCTGAGGGTAGCAAATATGTGTCTTTCCTACGTTTTGCAAATCCTTTTTCGGCTGCTGTTGCAAAGCTCACCCACGCAGCTAGGCGGATACAGTCATAGAAACACTAACAATATTACCATCTAATAATGTATTTGCCAAAAGGCATATCCTTGCTCCTGTTCAGATTCTAGGCGGCTTACAACAGAGTGTTCTTAAAACTCGTCCCTTGGGATTTCTGCTTGCAGCTGAAAGAAATGAAATTTTGACTGGGAGATTTGATATTTGGAATTGCTCTTGCTATAGAAATATTGGGTTTTATTGATATTACTAGAGTAAGAAGTTACTGTGTTATTTTGCTTATAACTGTATCGAAGAAAGTCGGAAGTTGTTGTTTTCTGATTTTCTGTCTCTTTTTCTCTCCTCCCCTTCTTTCCTTTCTTCCTCACACTTCTTTATCTATTTCTTTTCTGTTTTTCTTTTGATGATTTTTTGTGTTTTATTCTTGTTCGAAAACTCATAACATTCTTCCATAAAATAAAAGCCATCCTTAAAACCATAAATAATAAACCCAACAATTAAAAATGACAAATATGGTTCCCAACCTCAGCCTCTTTCAGACGGGTGGAATTCAATGCCCAGAATTCCCCAGCCAGCATGGGGACTGTGGAATCCAGCCTGGCTGGCTGGGGAATTCTGGGAATTGAAGTCCAACCATTCTGGGAGTTGAAGTCCACCCAACTTAAAGTTGCCAGGGTTGAGAAACACTGCCCTAAGCTCGCTCACACACACACACCGGTTTGCAAGCCCCCCAAGACAGGTGGACTTCTACTCCCAGAATTTCCCAGCCAGCATGGCTGGCTGGGGAATTCTGGGAATTGAAGTCCACCCATCTGAAAGTTGGCAGATCAGCTGCATGTGGGGCAGTAAATCACCATTCTCTCTCAAACAAGCCTCCATGGGGGTTGTGCAACACGCTACGGGTGGACTTCAACTCCCAGAATTCCCCAGACAGCATGGGGACTGGGGAATCCAGCGTGGCTGGCTGGGGAATTCTGGGAGTTGAAGTCCACCCATTCTGGGAGTTGAAGT